CAGACAGCATTTTATTAATGGTTTGTACCAGTTAAACCACCAGCACAAACGTGTAGGTTTTAAGGCTTTAATGAAAGTGGAATTTACGGACATCCCAATTATCTCTTCCAATTTAAAACATCCAATTTGAAATGTTTAAAATTAAACAAGCTTTAAAATCCCATAATCATTTTTTAAACTGAATACATGAGCAGATTCCAGTTCAATCAAATGGGTACACACAGAATATTAAATACAGACTATTAGAGTTATTTTTGAGATGGACAAATTACATGGGGTATATCTCTTCATGCTTCAGAGTCATGCAAAGATTATGTAGCAAAAAAGTACCGTTTACTCATATTCATCTGCTACAGTCTGCAAAACCAATAGGATAAAATAGATGTGAAGATATTTTAAATGGTGTGTGTAATAATGGAAACTCTGTTATCACAAAATACTGAGAAAACTCACGAGTGTTAAATTCAATTGGATCCAACTGGCCGACATTCTGATACAAGGAAAAATATACTAGGAAAAAAAAGAAATGGAGAAGGATTCATAAAGTTACTCTTACCAGTAATTTCCCCATTCAATCATCGTTCCCGGCTGAAATCCCAATGTGAGGAAAGAGAGGTGATAGGAATGAGAGCACAGCAGCAGAGAGGAACATGTTCATGCTTAAAGAGAGGAGGTGACAGAGTTACCCTGAGTTGGTATGACCGGAGCTCATAGATGTTGGGTCCTGTACGAGGAACGGGTTCGTTCCAGAAACTGAACTCCAGCAGCAGCTGGTTCCTGCGAGAGAGCAGCATCTTCCCCCTCTCATTCCTGAAGTCCATAAACTTCTACACAAAAGACAAAAAACAGCAACACATCTCTTAGTAGATGAGGGGGATTTAGACACGGCAAATACATTTGCAAAAAAGTGAAAACTCCTGTTAGTCATTTAAGCACTATAGCATTTCAGACACAAAGGAATAAGCTGTTCACATGACAACCATGTAACATTTACTGTTGCATGGGACAAAAGCAATGCTATAACCTTAAAGTCTAACTATGTCACCGCTTAGAAAAATATCTAATAACTAACTTAAAATCAGATGAAGAAAAAAGTACATTTCTGTTAATTTTAAACAAACATATACTTAATGGATAAATAAATAATATCTCTTCACTCTTTATAGTAAAAAAAAATCTGTTAATAACCGTTCTAAATTAATGCACCAAAGTAAGAACCACATCCAACTGCATAAGTTGAAGCATTAAGGTTGAAAAATAGTCTGTGAATGTCATTTGAGTGGTGCACAGCTGGAAACTAAAGTCGTTTTCACATATCCACTCCTGAAAATATCTAGATAGGGTCTCCCTAGGTAAGCCGTGACATTAAAAAAAGACGCGGACGAAGCAACAGAGTCTGCTGTACGATGCTATTATGATAATATTTAACTTTATATCAATGTTACGTGTAGTTTGGTAGAATCACAATGTCAACAAAAGAGCGAAGAACAACATACTGATGAACAGAAAACATAATGCGGCTGTTTAATTACGTGCACGGCGATCATAGCGCTCGCATGCAGACAATCTATGCAGCGTGCAGCAGTCACAGTGTAGAAACGTCCCTCCCCCTCCTATTGGCTCGAGGTGAATTCTCGAATTTCAGGAGAATATTCTGCTGTGTTCAAAAATCAGCCCACTCGGACTTGCTGCGGAAAAAATACTAGGGGGCTGGCAGGAGAAACTCCGGGTGAAGTCTGAGTGAAAGATTTGTCTGTTTGCGTTCACACATACTGGACAGCTCCTCCGGCTAATATCAGGAGTTTTCTGTAAGTGTGAAAGCCCTATAACTGATGGTAAACAGAAATAATTTGAGAGTCAGTTACCTTATTCTGCCTGAGTTTGTTCATGACTTCGGTGAGAGCTGGGTATCCTCCTCGATATCTCCACAGATGAACTAGAATAGAATAGAATAGATTATACAAATAGAGAAAAGTAGGAGCAAAAGAGCAACAACAAAAATGCCACTCTAAATTAATCATGGTGTGTCTCTATTTTTGCCTTTATCGTAAGAGGACGTATCTCTCAAGGCCACCTGTGTTCAGTCATGTAGAAATTCATCTTTACTGCTACCTCTCGTAAAAAAAAATATCAGCTGAAGGTTAACAATTCAAAAACCTTTTAATAGGATAACAAATATTTGGACACTTTTAAAAAATCTATGATGAAAACTGCTCATCTCACTGGACATAACACGAAAACATAAAAACTATTTTCCAGAGAGTAAGCACATCTGCTGTCTTCAGTACAAGTTGGACAATTGGAGGAAAATGAGGTTATGAAAATATCGTGAATAACTTGATCAGGAGTTCAAATATTTTTTTTAAACGATCCTGCAAGTCAAAAATTGGGAATACTTTCACCATAATCAATAAATAGAGACAGGGTAACTCTCTAAATGGGTTCAAAGTCCAGAAATACAGATCTATTTGTTGATTGTTGTTCACTTGCATATATGTAAAGAAACCCTTAGAGGTGGAGATTGACCCATGCCCATACCTGCCTGATCCTGCTCTCCGTACCACGTGTTCCAGGTTCCCACTAGTTCACATGGGTATTCAGGGTCAGCATGAATGGAAGCCAAAACGTCCTCACTGAAGACACACACATGCATACAACACAAACAGAACTGAGTAAAAGAGGATTGGTATTTGAAATGTGTACAAAACCAGCAAGAACAGAACTTGGATTTCTTACCAGAGTTCATTGTAATCATCAAGGCACTCAGGCTTGACATTGTGAACTGCAAAATGACGACAAAACATGAGCGTTTCAAACAGCAACTGACGGATATCACGTGATTTTTCAAGTTGGAAAACATTTAAATATCTTCATAAAACAATCTAAAGCTCATACAATCGGGTTAATATTTGTCAATGATCCACCGTAACTTTCCCCAAAAGTGAGAAACAACACATACATTGTATTTTGTAGAGATTGTTGTCTTCTTTCTTGGCAAGCAGATGAGAGTGAGCGTCTTTTCGGGGGTCAACCTTTCTAACAAAAAGAGACTTGAACCAGCTGTCTTCACGGAAAGCTGAGAGGCTCCTGTTGTCAAACAAAGCTTAACGTTAGATACTCTATTGTCTCTGAACCACACAGTGGGTTAATTACTCTGCTCAGCTGTGACCTGTTCACCCACTGCAGTGTAACCCAATCCGACATGTAACTGCACCTGCTCTGATGAGAGTGCTTTCAATAACAAACTGTCACAGATGTGTAAAATGTCAAATGGAAACTGGACAAATTGGAAGGCTGATCATTAGTTGCTTTACAAATGTTTCTCATGATTTTGTCAAGTTTCTCCTGTACATTTAAAAAAAGAAAAGAAAGTTCACTTTAATGAATGAGTGCAATTAAGCAACCGGTAGTTTAAATGTCAAGGGGACTGTGGCATGATGAGAGCTATCAGAGTTCAAAGATGTCTTTAAAATATGACTGCTTCTTTTTTTTTTTTTTTTTTTTTTTTTTTTTTACAGAGGCTTAGTCAATTTAAATTATTGGAGGAAAATGCAATTGTTTATCTATATATCTATATGTTATTTAAACTCTTACGCTAGCTGATATACTTAAAGATTTTAACAAGAAACTTTGTACAAATCCTTCAAGAAAAAACAACTCATGCACTGCAAATACACTCCAGCAGCAGTGAATCCTATAAGCTGCTTTGCATACTGCACATGAGATTAGTCCGCATGGATTTGTAAGCAGCCTTTCCGCATGACAAAGTATTTTGTTTTCTTTATAAACTTTACTTTAAAAAGAGTCAACGAGCACTCCTCTCTATGCATGTGTTTTGTCTTTATTAGGAATCACTCCTCTCACTTCACCAACTGATTGAAACACAACTACTACTTCACTGAGTGCATTCAAACTTGTCACAGTTTTTCCTCAATCACAGCACTTCAGTGGCAACAAGTTTGCACTCAGCTTCGTATGCAGCTCCAAGACTAGACACCTGCCGCAGTAAGAAACAGTGTTACTCTCTTATCAAAAACAAGCCTTGCTCTACAGCGACACATTTTGACCTTGGAGTAATTAAGAACTTACACAAACTTATTTGACATGTGGTGTAATTTCGTCATATTAAAACTACTATTCTATGCACAAAACTATACAATCTGCGGGTTAATACACAACAGTAGTCACAACACAACCTTCTATTTCGACAGGTTGACAACTAGTTTGAGTGCTAATGCTAGCTACGTTGCAGGGATATGTGTACGCAACCCACGTCCTCAAGTTAGCGTTAACTTTAACTTAGCCACATAGCATACCGGCGGACTGCCACTGGTGTAAACAAACAAACATTAAAGGAGCATGTACGCATCAGCACCAGCTAATTTAACTTGCAAAGCTCTAACCTTACGACTACAGTGACTTGTCCATTTGTATTAAGCCCATTTCTTGAGTGTTTCAGGCCTATGCCCAGTCGCTGAAGGACTCGGGTCGCCATCTTCCCCCTGAAAGCTGTTTGAGGTTGTGCAGGACGGTGCAGCAGGTGTCAGGGTCCCGGTGCAGCTGATGTTACTTACACAGCCCCGTGTTTACTAACTTCATGTACCGGAATCAGCTGACATTATGTGGATATGTGTAACTTCAAACTAAAGCCGACGATAAAGTCGGAGCAGAGGTTAATATGTATAGATGATGATTAGTCATAACAACTTTGATATTCAACCCGGCTTGACAAGTTGGCAACACTGTAACCATGGCGACGCATTTTAGCCTTTGAAAAGTACAACTGTTTAAATAAACAGCAACATTGTTTACTTTTTTTTTTTTTTTTTTTTGGTCCTTACTCTTTTAAACAGAACATTTGAATAAGTGTATAACTTAGAGGCCTCAATAAAATCTTTTTTACATTTTCATTTAATGTTTCACAAACAAACAAAGTTGTAAATTGAACAGCAAAATATATGATGGACAACATTTGGTACATTTTGATAAATCAGAGCAAATCCAGAAAAACATGTTTATTTAAGCAATGGCAGGCACACATCAATGACATGCATTTGTCTTTGAAAATGCATCTGTAAGATTTTATTTTAAATTAATAGATATAATTTTATAATTTGTTGTCAAACACAGATCCAGGGTCACAGAGTAAGCAGATATGTGTGCATCATGTTTGTGAGTGATACCACTGATTTGTAAAGCCTTTCTTGTAAATACCTTAGAAATGTGTCTTGGGGGGGAAAAAACAGAAGAGGTATTATTCTATGGTTGTCCACATTAACCGAAAGATGCATTGATTACTGGTCTGTATTATAATGACATGGAAACATAAACAGATGTTTATGCAATGTTATGATATTTAAGCTAACATTACTTAAAATAGAAAAATAGTTTGCTTTCATGCAGTGGGAATTTGTGTGGAATCAGCACTGCTCGACACAGCAGAGATGTTGAGCTCTTGTAGTTTTTCTGACAACGTTGTATCTTCTTCCAGGTTCAGTGGAAGGTCAGTCAGCGGCTCCAGAAACTCGGTTCCTGCGACCTTCTTTCCTGTCAGTGGGTCAACCACCCGACCAACCTTGTACACAATGTCCACCAGTTCATGCTTCACATGTTTGGACCTACCCTCAGGTAGAGCCTTAAGGAGGACGATATCTCCAATAGTGCTCTGTTGCAGAGCATCATGGGCAAAGTAGGTTTTCCTCTTGTTGTAGTACTACGGGGAAGAGAAGACATAATTAGTTTCAAATAAATCGAGAGATAATTTACTGCAATAATCCGGCAACCTCAAAAGGATTTGGTTGTAATAATTTACTCAGTTTGTAACAATCATCGACTTTGAAGCCAACGTGGGAATTGTAATTAAAAGCTTGTTTTAGTTTACATTAGAAAAATAAAAATCAATGGCAAATGTAGTTCACAGGTTACAACAGCCAAATGAATAGTTGTAAGAAAATAACAATTAAGTGTTTCTTCAAATCTTACATAATTCTTTGTTTAAAAGACAACAGACATGATGGAGAGGATTGACATGCATTGTTGAGGTAGACTCAGTAATTTGAGCTGTCCCTATCTCAGCGAATCAACACTTGCAGGTAAGGTTCACCTTTAGCAGGTAAGGGTCCAGCACGAGCCTCGTGACCCTCACTTTGGCAGTTTTCTGCATCTTGGTCCCGACTACTTTGCCGATGATCCATTTCGCATGGACTGATGCATGCTTGGCCGACATTATGGGGAAACTCGTTGCCACCTTGAGAAGAACAAACCATCCAAGAAAATGAGTAGGCTACATCAGTGGTCAGTGAAAGTATTAGTCCATCTTTTGTTATTTTACAAGCGACATATCAGATAATTATTTGCAGTTTCATTACATTAATTGTGAATTTCAGAAACACACTGAGCGATGCTTCAGTTTTTGCAAAGCACAAACACCGAACGGGTTTTTTAAAAAGTACAAAATAATACAGCTATTCACAAAAACGTTATCTTTAAGTCAAGCATAACTAATAGACTTATTGTTTTCAATGCAAAATGAGTGTGAAGGCAAACAGAGGTAAGTGTTATAGTTAGCCGTATGAGCTTCAGCTTCACAGCAGCGTTCATACATTAAAAAAATATGTAGTCATTCACAGACATTAACGCAGATTAACACTAAAGACATTATGTATTATAGAATCGACTCACTGTACAATGTAAACGGAAGGAACAACTGAAGAAGGTCAAAACATTTTTAGACAGAGGGCTTCTCCATGCTGCGCGGCTTGTTTTGATGACGTGAACTACGGCTAGTGACGAGGGGCAGAATGGTCTGGTCCATGACGTCCATAATGATTTATTTATTTATTTATCGTAATTTATTTATTACGATTATTCAAGGGAATATAAAATTGTGCTTTATATATATATATATGCTTATAAGAATAAAAACACATAACTTTCTGAAATAAGACACTTGTTTATTCGTAAAAGAACAATAATATAGTAATAGTAGCCAAGTTACGGATCTTTGTGAATCAAGCAAGCCCTTTTAGTCGGCTATTTATTACCGTGTATTTTGCTTTATTCAGTTTAAGATGTAGATAAAACTTGATGCAACCAGTGTGTTTTGTGAACCTTTTTACTTTCTTCAGCGTCTTCCACAAAGAAAAATGCGTTTTAAGTATGGCCACCAGAAGGTGCTATGTCAGCAGAACACATCACTTCCTAAACCTGAGGGGACATCAAAGTGACAGAAGAGTAACAAAGAGAAGAGAAGGTTTTTGGTAGCAAAAACTACAAGATCTACAGGTTGTGCTAAAATCAATTAAAACCTTAATGAATGGTTGCCATGTTTAGGCCCTTGTGATACTGGCATTGAGTTGCAGGTGTTTCCTCTCACACCTCCAAATGACACAAAGTCTTACTAATATATCATTTCAGGTGTTGACAGTCAATAACATAACAACATCAGAACTCATAATAGTAAACTCATGGTAAACTAGGTCATTCATTGCACATGTATTTTTATCCCTGCACGGGTTATGTACATTTCTTGTATAAGTCTATTTTTAATTGCACAGGTTTAAGTTTGATTCATCTTGGGGTATTCTTTAAATATTTTTTTGGGGGGGTTAATGTAGCCTATGTGTACGGGAGGGGGGCGTCGGTTTTGTGGTTAATTTGTGACAAATGTTTCATGTCATGTACGTCTTTGTGACCTGCTAATGGATGCTTTGAATTTTCCTCGGGCTCAATAAAGTATCTATCTATCTATCTATCTAGCTATCTATCTATCTCTCTGTCTATCTATCTATCTATCTAGCTATCTATCTATCTATCTATCTATCTATCTATCTATCTTCAAATGCTTTTGAAATTAATCTGATCTAGGACAAGAATATGGAAAAATAATTGACCATAGGGAGGCTGTGAGCACTGGTTGCAACTAAGCGGCAACAGCCGGTGTTGAAAAATGAAGCCAATAAGGAAGTGCAAAATCCTGCAGTTCCTCAAAAGTCTGCATGAGGCTGGCTCAAAGAGTCCTGAAAGTCACTTACATACATCATTTAAAATAACATGTTTTTAGAACAGAAATTACCAATTTTACAGCCTGGTACAAAAAATGAAATACATCATATTTGTTATTGTCCTCATGGGCACACACTGTACGGCTGACCTGATTGCCAGGTGGGCGCGATGTAACTATATACTGTAAATAATAATGGACAAAGCCTGAGTGACGTCAGCCATCTGTTTGGGCAGAGCGCTCATATATATATATACAGTATATCAATACTCATTAATAATAGTCATTATTTCGCAAAAAATAATTTCTCATAATAGCATCGTATAGCAGACTCTGTTGCTTTGAACGCCACTTCCGTATCATTCTTTTTGCATCATGTCTTGCATCCTGAGACCCCCCCCCCCTCCTGTCCAACAGGATTAGTCTCCCGCTGTGAGGTGCATGTGTGAACAGTCAACCCGGGAAGACTTCAGGGTCTACCTGACATTTTAATGAGTGAATATGTGGAACGACTTAAGAGGTCTACATGATTGGATATTGTCAGTCCTTCATGTACTCTTGCATCTACTTTACCATTGGTTTCATTATGACTCTAGTAAAATGAACAAAAAACAAAATTATGACCTCTTGGCGACAACAGACACTCTTCTGGATCTTTGCGAAATCGGGACGTAAGAAGCTAAAAAGGAGGAAGATTCGTATAGATCTGGTCATTTGAAAACATTAATAGTCATGTCCCTGAGACAGAATTGGCCACGGCTTAGAAGCAACAGCAGTCAGACAAATCTGGTCTTAATCAGAGCCATGCTGTAGTAAAGCACAGGTCTGGGTCTTTGTTTTCCATATAAGGCAGTGAAGCATAGGTAGACCTCTGCCAGAATTACAGAATTATCCAACTTTAGTCTTCTTCATACAAGAACAATGAGAGAGTTAGCATTGTAATGTCTGTTTTCCCCATTAAACTTATTTTATGAAACATAATAATAGACTAAATGAATTTGTCATACTAAACAGAAGAGTGTTTCTGAAACCCTGGATGGACCACAGCCACATCATGTTACATCAAGTCATAATATTAATAAACGCTTTCTTATTGCAATGAAAAGAAGAAAACAGAAAAGATCCACTATAAGGGCGACCTCGTGGTAAATCTGCGGGTAAGCCTACAAGTGCAGACCACATGGTATCAAAGGCTCGTATTACAATATTTAACCAAAGATAATGCAGCCAATGTTTTTATACGTGAGAAAGCTCAGTGTGAGTTATCAGCTCTGTATAATGTGAGACTACAGCAACTGCGACATAAGACAGAGTCCTGATAGCACATAGACTGTGTGATAACATGTATGTTTTCAATGATAACACAGTGACCTGCTAATCAGGGAGTTTTATATTTTCAGATTAACATGCTAGAATAATGTTGGCCTAGTTACTATTGTGTGAGTTATTAGTCTTCAGATATTACATTTTTTTAAGATTAGACTATCATGTTTTTTTTGTTTGTGTGTGTGTGTGTGTGTGTGTGTGTGTGTGTGTGTGTGTGTGTGTGTGTGTGTGTGTGTGTGTGTGTGTTTGTTATGACCAAGCCTAACAGTGAATTAAAATCAGTCATTAGTTCCTGTCTGTGGGGTCATTTGAAGCTGTTTTTGGTGTTCAACAGTCACTATGATCTACTAAACTAAATGTGGAACATTGATTTTGGAATTGGATCTCTTGAACTAATCTACCAGACAGCACCTTTGAACACTGCATTCAAACTCTATTAATGTATTAATGGGTGCAATTTGTATTTAAAATATATAAAATGTAAAATAAAAAGGTTTAGAAAGATACTCAAGTAAAGTACAAAAACTTGAAAACTACCCAAGTACAATTAAAAAATAATTGTTTGAAATGGCTTCCCCTATCTGCATAGACATGTTATATTGGTTAATAAACATGCCCTGAAATAAACATCTGACTAAATACAAAATAAATCTCTCAAAAGAGGCCTAAAATGTTAATCAACATAGGATCAATAAGGTATGATGTTTGAATGTCAATGTTGCTGAGAAATATTTCAAATAGATAAATCTGTAATCCTATTTGTCCTAGAAATGAAGTCTTCAATTCCCCAAAATTAAATGACTTTCAATAAAAATCCCAAACTTGGAGTGAGACAGCCAGCTGGACTAAGACCTCATTGTCTTTAACAATATGCATGAAACACATGTATTAGTCTGGAACCAGGCTGTGTAGATAATTAGTCAGCCTCTGCCTCTCTCAGCCCCCATCAAAGAGGGTGAAAAGTGAGATAGCAAAGAGGTGGCAACACGAACTGAGGAAGGGCAAGGCATGAAGGGCAGGAAAAAGCTTGGCAGCCTCAACATTTGTGATTCGATGTGAAAGCGCTGTGAGTCATTGAATGGCAGGCTAATGTGTTTTGGATTGACTGGAGGGTTAATGGAAGTGTTCTCCTCTTGGGTAGGAGCCAAACTCAAACAGAGCTGGTGATGATTAGACATGGACGGTTAACCTTGAGGCTCTTACTATCTGTAACTTTCTCTTAGCTTTTGTTCTATTCATCCTGTGACGGTCTAAGAGTTGATTTAACCTCATTCACTGATTATTTGTCTTTGACAACAGGCGGTGGCATGTGGCAGGTTGGTTATATTGTCACTAAATAAAGTTCAGAAAGCTACTCAGCTCAATAGTTCTGTATCCTTTAGACTACATCAGGCAGTACCTGTATGACTTGTTTTTCTCAAAATTAGGTGTTTTCTAGACATCAAATGTCTATGGGCCTGACTTGAATTCTTGAATGAGATGTACATTTTTGTTTCAGATTAACATTGCTAAACTTGTGTTGATTGATTTAATCGATAAGATGGAGTTGATTATTAAGGCATTTATTCCCTCCCAATTCCTTCCTTACATGCTTCACTAAGACATCCCTGGACTGTTTAACAGTAAATTTATAGCTGATGCCAAAAAGTTCTGTCTCATTTATCGACAATTTTGATTTGTTCACACTGGCTTCTTATTAAATTCAAAACCAAGATTCATTTAGTTTGAGTCATTGTTTTATTCTTATTGTCCCAAACCAAAGAGGTTATATTCTCAGTGCTATTTGTTTGTGTGTAAAATGGTAAATGGACTTTATAGTGCTTTTCTAGTCTTCTGACTACTCAAAGCACTTTTATACCATATGTCACACTTACCCATTGACACGCTGATGGCAATGGTTGCATGAAAAGTGACCATCAGAAGAAGTTAATACCATTCATATGCATTCATACACCACTGACGAAGCAGTGGGAGCAATTCAGGTTGAAGTGTCTTGCCCAAGGACACACAGGACATGTTGCTGCAGGATCTGGGGATTGAACCCTCAACCTTCCAATGGAGAGGTGACGACTTTACCAACTGAGCCACAGCCGCCGTCTATGTCAGGAAGTATGGAAACATTACTGTTTTTTCTTCTTCCCTGTGTGTCTTTTATTGTGAAACATGTTTTGATGAATGTTCTTAAAGGTGACATTATAAATAAACTTGTTTTTAGTTAGTGTTTGATTGAGTCAGTGGGAGGGACTCAAACCGCCACTTAGCTTCACACCTGAGAGTGTGACACTGTCACAACAACACACATCCTGTCTTTTTTTGCCTTTCACAGCATTACAACAAGCAGTCGTTGTATGTTCGCACTCTCCAGCCTTGAACAACATTTGTGGTCATGACTTATGATACTAACTATTAGCAACAGTTTATTCCACATTTTGTGTGTTGAACGAATGAATGTGAAAGAAA